GATAGTACTGTCCCCAATAGTACTATCTTAAAGTAGTGTTCATTACTTTACTGCAGCCCTTCACTGCACATGTGTAGACAGTGATGCTTTACTCCGCAGCTAATTAACCTACTCCACAGTAAAGCACATGTAGATGCGACCTCTGTGACTCCATTTAAGTTAATTCAACAATTGCAGCTTAATTAAAAATTCTGGTGACTGCACGTGAATATGAATAGAAGACAGCTCATCTAATCCTAGTTGTGTTGATTCTGAAGTACTGACAGAAACATGAAGTAAGAAAAGCCTTTAGTGCAAATTCAACTTTCCATGAACTTTTCATATGCACAGGGGACAGATAATGTCTGTGAAACGAGAATCAAGTTAGGAAGTAGAACTGCTTTTAAGAAAGTGCCATGTTATAGTTACCTTTCACATGGGAATCACACAATGAATAAAGGCTGTTTCAACAATACAATCAATATATATTGTTAACTTTTTTCCCCCCTGCAAACTGGCTTTATAGAGACTGGGTGACACTCAAAGACAAAGCACTATTTAAAACCTGCACTGAGGGTTTAAATAGTACAGAACGCTTTGCAGTATTAGCTCTCTCTCAAGTATTATATCACAGAAGTAATATCACAGATATAGTAGTGACATGTTACTTTTTTAACTGGAAAGGCTAATTTGTCTTTCTTTGTTAGCTAGCAAATTCCCTTAAACTTCAACAACTATACTTTGATTTTGCAGGCAAGAAAATCTCTGTGGGTTCATTTAATATAAAAAAACAAAAAAGGCAGACTTTGCTAAATGCTTAGTGTTAAATAACAGAACAATTTAAGATTTTAATTTTCTATACAGACCCCAAGTGTGGTAATTTTCTGGTAAACAACTACTCTGAAACAGCCTGTCTCTAAAAACTGAACCGATCGCCTATAATTTTTCAAGAAGGAGCTTGGATGTGAACATGTTCCAAGTTCTCTCATGTTTGCTTTCCAAGAGAATTCACATTTAACCTTTAATCAGCACAAATGCTCATGAAAGATAACTTTAGATAATTACCAAATTAATTTTATGTTCAGTTGTAAAATTATTACTTCATAATTTGTGTTGTTTTGATATGCAAGTGACAAAAAGGTTTCTCTTCTTTGACTTAATTGACAAACAGAGTGAGTTTGGATTAAAATTAAATACATGATTCCCAAGTCACGATGTTCCGATTAGTTAAATGTAGTGATTTAGGTTACTATGTAATTACAGATCTAACTGTAAAGTTAAAAATTTGCAAAGCGAACAGTGCTCATGCTAAGAACCCTTCCTTGAATAATACTACTGCTTACTAGTACATAACATTTCCCTTCAGTATCTCCAATCACTTTCCAGCGGTGGTCAATAATATCACTACTCTCAGCCCCCTATTTTAGAGATGGGAAACTGAGGCATTAAGCAATTAAATAAAAACACTCAAAGTCACCTACTAGGCCAGTGGCTTACTTCACTGAAGAGATTCTCATATGTTTGTTTAAAAAGTATGTAAAAGAATTCTACAACCTGTTCACAGACCATCAGAAAGGCAAGGTAAAGTTAGTCAAACTCTTTGTTACAGGTGTATAGGTTGTAGCTGTGTTGGTCTAAGGACATAGGCAGACAAGGTTCTTTGGGTAAATCTGATATCTCTTATTAGACCAACTCAAATAGCTGGAAAAAAATGTCCAGCTATTTGAGTTCATCTAATAAAGATATCAGATTTGCCCAAAGAACCTTGTCAAACTCTTTGTTGTATTCTAATGTTTTACCCCTAGATCAGGAGATTTTTCTAAATAAATTTCATATGTAGCATTTTTTTTTCTTATTTTTCAAAGAATGCGCCTCATTCTGTACTCTCAATCCCATTATATCCAATTGTGCAATTAATACTCTTTTTATATATTTACTGGAAAAAACAAATTTGATTTTTTTGGGTTGCCTGCTAATTGACCATGGTCCATTCAGTCTCAAATGGCCCAGTTATCATCCCATGCCTCAAAGGAGGAAAGCTTCATACTTTTTTGCCCTTCATTCCTCATTTTTTATAAAATTGCACAGTGATCGATTTTAAATATAGAAAAGTATGAGGAATGTTTTAAGTGTATAGGCACACATTCACATGGATGTATAACATAAGTTGCATTGTGCTTTCCTAAATGATACAAAATGACTCTAGAAACTGCTAGTAATAAAAGACAGCCCTTAGGATTTTTTAACCATCCTTTAGGCCTAACAGCAGTTGTTGCCATAATGCAAATCAGTAGGGTGTAAAGAATAGATCTTGTGAAAAAATAACTTATTTGTAATATCCAGCTCCATTGGTTGATTAATTATTTTGTACAAGCTCTGCCATTTATTAAAAAATGACAAATAGATGAAAACTTCAAAATCTTGTGCATGACATTATTTTAAGAATTCCTTAGTTCTTAAATCATTCTAACTGCTGATACTGCAAAGGGTCACAAGACACAAAAGAAGAACATATAATTGTACAGAACAAGGGGAACTTTAAAAAAAGAAATCAAATGGGTGGTATTTCATCAGAAATATCATGTGCAGGGGAGAATTTCAAAGCCAGAAATAGCAGGTAAATTCTTAACTCCCACTGAAAGTCCAAGGGCATTAAGCCCAAACAGATTTGTGCCTTTGAAAGCCTCACTCTACTTCCATATTTCAAAAATTCAAAGCATATAATATTCGAGTCTCATCTTCACTCTGACAATGTACAGGGATCATAATGCCAGTGCAAATGTAACATTCTTCATTCTGTGTAACGTGAATTGAGCTAACGGTATATACAAAAAGTCAAATGCATTTTGTTGAGATTTGTTGTTTGTTTGTTTTTAAATACAGGGGTGTCAAAGATACAGCCCATGAGCTGGAGTCAGCCCCTGGAAGGCTATGATCTGGCCTGGGGGTCTTAGATCAGCCCCATATGCTGCATGCAGCCCATACTGGCCCTGGATCCATGCACTCCATGTGGAAATGGGGCCAGCATGGCATCCATTGTCTGCACTCAACCAGCCCTGTGTGCTGGCTCCAGGGCCAGATCAGGCTTACTGATCCTCCTTTCACACCAGAGTCAGAGTGCAGGGCTGGTTGGGCGTGAGCACAGCATGCAGTGTGCACCACATGCCAAGCCCATGGGCCATTCAAGCCCTAAACCCGAGTCAGCACATGCTTTATGTGATGCATGTGGCTGGACCAGGTAAGTGTACTACATGTAACAGAGTGGGCAAGTCAGGGCACGTGGCACCCTGCTAGACCAGCCCTGTGCATTTTAATACATTGCTTCACATGTGCATATTCTGCCACACTTTTTTACGTGGGCACTGCTACATAATTTAAGCATGAAGTAAACAAAGGAAATAAAACGGGCTTTACTGTAACATAGTTCCACTTAACAGAATTTATTACTGATTCAAGAGACAATATTTTCTATTACAAGTGTAGGTGGTTTAATTTCTGTTCATAATGGACAGGTCGATTTTACATCATAAAGGCACCGTTTCTATTAGCAAGCACTCTTGCAGGCACTGTCAGCAGTGATGATAAGGACAGAATGGGCATGGGGACCTCACTGTCACCCCTCGCCCACCAGAGGTGGTTTCGTCACTACAAGCCTGAAGCACTTCAGCAAAGCATTGTTCTGTAACTGAGCATTATTAATAAAGGGCTTCAAGTCTTCAAAGCTTTCAGGCTGTCAGTTTTCTCAATTCACTCTAACCATTAAAAAAGAAAAAGTGAAAAGATGAAAGCTGCACAGTTCGGTTCCTGTGAATTGAAATGAATAATCAGGGTAGATTAGCAAACCTGGGCTGGATACAGAAATTCATGGGACAGATCCTACAGCTTGCATTGTGCAGAAAGTCAGAGTTGGGGAATCAAAGTGTGTTTATTTTGATTTACAAGTCTATTCAAACATCTGCACTAGGAGTGTGGAAATACAATGAACAACCAGGTTTTGAAGGGATTATTGGAGGAAGAAAAGACTGAAGGTCATATTCTCTCCTTTGTACCTAGCATGTGTGAAAAATTTATTAATATTAATGGTGAAATGTGTGCAATACATTGTAGGAACAAATATTAATGACTGCATGCAATAAGTACCTTATACACAATAATACCAAAAACTTTCCACCATGTCTTACAGTATTCACCTCGAAAAAGCTCTTTAAAACATGATCAGAGGTCTTGTTCCTAAAACAATCAATTATGAAAAAATTCTGTTTAATAGGTATCACAAATAACTCTCACCCTTTCCAGGGTCATCATGCACCTTGTGTTAGTCATTTATTCATCTTTCTTTAATGCATCTTTAAACCAGTTATGAATTTACTAAAACATGACATTTCATAAGCATGATGTCTTCAGCGCTGAACTATGGAAAAGAATTATAAACTGGTGTTTACAGTCAATGAAACCTTTCAGCCTGAGGCACCCGAATCAACACAGACTAGATCATTTATAGCAGGTTAGGATCTTTCCCACCAAGTTAATATTATGAAGCAGCAAATGACAGTGAGCAGCAAAGGACTATGTGGGAACCAGTGAATCCCTTAAGTTGATCCTTTTTAAACTAGTTAATGTTTTTGGGAGATTTTCTGATTTAAAAACAAAAAAGATGTGGAATTTGGTAAGAAAACATATTGTTTTGGGGTGTTATCTGTTCTCCACTGAAACAGTTTCCACCTTAGCTCTTTTAAAAAGCATGTAAGCATGTGCACACAAACACATTTTGGGTGGGGAGAACAGCTATGTGACTCCTAACTTCTTATCCACAATACAGACAGGGAAAATCCAATGAACTAAGTCTTTGATTAAAAGTCCATTAGGATTAATGGAAAACATTTATCATGACTCTAGCAGTCTTCACCTAAGGCTTTAAATCATTTCTATTTAGTGCACTTACCAGCAGTCTTTTATGTGAGCTCTACAGTACCCAAAAGCCTCAAGGAAAAAAGTTAATTTGCATTTTATTAGACACCTACCTCAAACCACTGCCCATGTGACTGCATTTTAAGGATAACGCAGGGATCTGGCTTGGAAAGGGCATCTCTTTCTAATATACTTTTGCATGCAACACGCAGCTCCACTTTGGTCAGGCATGGGCTGTTAAAGATTCCCAGGGTATTGGCCGCTGATTCATAGATGTTGCTCATTTTCTTCATTCTATTTTCTGCAAAGAGAGAAAAGAGAAAATCAAAAAACAAATTTACACACAGTGCAATCCTATTTATGAAGAAAGCAATCCAACTCTGTGCTATGTAAGAAAGGGTTCCCAATACCGTAGATGAGATTCATAGCATCAGAAAATTTTGTAAAACCTGGAACAGGTCAGATAAAGAATCCACAAACCCAATAAGACTTTCACTTGTATGAACAAATGAGTGTAATGTGGAAGCTGTCATCCTCATCCCAGAACTTTACATTTCAGATCTGAGTCTTCATTTCATAGACTAGGACAACATCTATTTGCAAATGTATTTCTACCTTTTACAGCTACAAGTGATATTTCTTAAAATTGAAGGGCTCAGTAGATGCAATTCTGCATGCGCATGTCTACACGAGGTGCTACTCTGCAGTAGTTACTGCGTACTTATTTAGTACTTGTATAACCACACAGTTGCACAGGCAAGCACCTTTTTAGTGACACTACTGCGCAGTAGCCTAATAATATTGTGCAATAGCATATTAGCACCGTTTGTGCGGTGACGTGCTACTGCGAAGCATTATTCGGCTACTATGCAGTTAGCCTCTTGTGTAGACGCACCCAGCATCTCTATATTTCAAGCCAATATCAAATTTTAATAAAATGAGTTTGGCAGTCCTCTGATCTGTCCTTGTTTAATGGTATTCCATCTCACAAAAGCACATAATCCATTCCAGTTCTTCCATGTAAGCATGAGAGAAGAAAGCCCTTTTCAGTGGCCGTGTCTACACAAAATGCTGACTGCACAGCCACTGCTGTCCAGTAATGCCGACGAAGGGCTTTTTTGTGATGCTGACTGCACAGTAGCATCACATCATGGTTTCTGTCATGTGGCACTACTGTGCAGTCATTGTCTCATGTAAACGCAGCAGTATAGAGCAATAGTAAACATAAAACCTGAATTACACTGCACTCTCTTTTCTACGCTCCTTGGTACATAAATATAATGCTGGCCTGTAAAAATTATGTTATGATATAGGTAGTAGAGCAATAATCCTTACGTTGATAAATCCTGTTATATATTATATAGTCTTTGAAGTCAGGAACCATGATTGAAATACTAGGGCCCTGAACTTGATAGCAACTGTTGGCTGTTATCTCATTTTAAGGAATAAACCACCACTGGCATCATCCATATTGCAGCTGAAGCCTTTGTTGTTAGCAGTATAACAATGAAGCAAGCTTTTTAATACAGTGCTTATCAAAATCGCTGTATGATTACTGCTACGCCAAAAAGGCATATTGGACCATTTTAATTGTTCAGTCATGGCTGAGCTTCGCAGGTTAATTTCCACACTAAATCAGACTCTTCAAAATACATGGTTTGCTACCTTTTCCCCAGATAAAAGTTGTAAACAAGTAATTTCACACTCTGTTAGAGAGCAGGATTAACATTACCAGATTATCAATGTGTTTCTGTGCCCTGTATAAATCCTCCTCATGGTTTTTCATGCAACACCCCATTTTTCAGAGGTTAATGTCTTCAGAGAATTGTTTTTGATAAAAGCCAACATTTGGCAATTTTAGCAGGAAATTAAAATTATCCTCCTTTTGCTTAGAGTAGTTTAAAAAAAAAAAAACACCTGAGCACATTCACGGTATCCATTAATTTAAAAGACAAAATTAGTTCAGTAGCTTCCTAAATTCAAAATAAGGAATAAAAATAAAAATGAAAAGATGAGATATAACTTTGCTAGAATGAAAACTAACTTTAGGAATGTGAATCCAAATGATGCAAGAGAATGATTTTTCTCATTACTGTAATGGGAAAGGTGTGCATTGGTTGTCTAAAACCGTTCCTTAAAGGAGTATTTTCTGTGTTTGTCTTTGTTTTACCCTGGCCCTGTGACCCACTGATGACCTCCACCCTATTGTGAGGGGCCCCAATCCCCTGGGTTCAATGTGGTTCTGAGCTAATGAAGGCACTCACTCCTTGCCACTCTAACCCCCAAATTAGAGCCCCTCCCACTACAAGTAACTTTCAACCAGGGGTGGGAAAAAGGCAGCCCATGGGCCGCATGCGGCCTACCAGGCCACTCCATCTAGCCCGCGAGTCCCCTAAAAAATTTAGAAAATTAATATTTAGCTGCCCCGGCTTCCTGTCACGCAGCCCTCGATGGCTTGCCAAAACTCAGTCAGTGGCCCTCCACCCAAAATAATTGCCCGTCCCTGCTTTAAATGCTCTCACATAGCCTGCGATTTACCACTCTGGGAGAAATGTGAGAGAACAGCAAGCCACATAGGCATAGAAAAGGACCCTCTTGACCTCAGATACATTACTCTCAAAAAGTAACACCTCTTTGAAAAATGGCAAAAGCTCTGAGACGCACACTCCCCTAATTAGATTTCTCCACTTCCATGAGTCCAAGATCCACCAGTGTTTCAGACTAGAAAGAGTCTATCCTTTCCACTCAGTCCTGAAGGTCCTGCTTACATGATCACTCTTTCTAGAAGGGTTGCTACCCTGAGCAAAGCAATCTGTTGCCTTTCCCCATATGCTCAAACAGAAAGCTCTAGTTCTCTCCCAGTTTGCCGCATCAGTACAAAACACATCTTATGGAGAAGGGCCAGTGGTTGAAAGTCATTCAACACTGACAGCTCCAGATTTTTGCCTTGATGGCTTCAACATTACATTAAAACTATACCAGTTTCAAAGAAATATTTTGATTTGTAAATATCCATTGAACTAATTGGGAGTGTAGGCCTGAAGAGGAGTTAAGCATTTTAATACCTTTTTTGGGTCGTGCCCAAAGCATCCATCCCATTGTCTGCACAAAATAGCAGTTTAGAACAGAGTTCAATAAACTGCCTTGGTTAGGTCAGGTATGTGTTTGGTACATAACCCAAACTGGGACTCCTACTCCAAACTGATGTTCACATTGATAGAGATGCATCTCACTGTCAGGGTCACACTTAAGAGGGGAAAAAAAAGAAAGGAATCTGTGACACTACACAGGGCTATTAATTCAAATCCTTATTCAGAAAAGCATTTAAACATGTGCTTTAATCTACCTCCAAATTCAGAACACAATGGCTGGATCCAGAAGTGCAAGCACGTGCAGTTTGTGGTACTACAAACCTTTTTGCTATTGCACTTGTTACATGTTAAACCATGCCTAGCACTGCTAATTTGCAGCTCTGTGGGCAAAAAGAAAAGCCATAAACAAAAAGGCACAAAGCACACTAGAATTCAGTGTGCTGGGACAAATGTGAAGACAGGGGAACAGGCAGCCCACAGCTGCCTGCTCCCCCATCTGCACACACTGCAAAAGGCTTGCACTGAGGTACCCTATACTGCAGCCAGCTAGGGAGAGGCATGTGGATATGGGGAAGCAGGCAGCCCAGGGCTGGCTGTTCCCCTGTGTCTGCATGCTGCTCCTCAACTGGCTGGGGCACAGGGTGCCTCAACGTGGGGGCTGCCTGCTAGCTAGCCCAGCACTGTGGCACACTGTGCCCCAGCCAGCTCCCCGTGCAGCACATGAAGCAGTGGGATAATGTGTCCCGATGCAAACCGCATGAGCAGGGGGCATGCACTGCAGCACAAAGTAGCAGCACAAATTTGTACCACTTCTCTTTGTGCTGCTGCAAATGCATGACCCTACTCATGTGGATGTGGCCAATCTGTTTAAAGTGAGCAGCATGTCACAAAAGGCAACAACCCAAACTCAAAGAGATGGCAAAACATATTGGTCAAGCTTGCAGGGTACCCTGGTCTTCATGTAAGCTGTGATTACAACAGTCACAGCTAGGATAGGAAAAAAGTTTTCATTTTTATGCCCTTTTAAAGTTAAGTGGAGATAGTTAACTACCATGCATGCTCCTGAAAATCTCCCTGTATAATCCAACTACCTCCAGGAGGGAGATGATGTCATCCACTAAATTTCAAGATTTTTTTTATTCTTCCACTCTGTCAGCTTTTAAAGCCATTCAAAAAACATGGTTAGTTTTACGACATGCATGTTTAACGTGTCTACTGAAATGTTATCCTTTGTGCAGAAATGGGTTATTAATGATTTCATTAAAACAGATGACTTCACTACTAAGGAAAAAGAAAAAATACAAAACAAACATGAGGGGGAGAGATGCATTTTTCACCCTCCCACAGTAATTATATACTGTTTTTTTCTGAATGGTAGATAACTATAAAATTATACTTTTTTAGCACTGTAGCCTTTTCTTTAGATTTTACAAGTACTAAATTTATCAACGAAAAAGATCAAATTACAGCCTTATTCTTCTGTTCCATTATATTCTTCCCTTAATATAATCACCAGTTTGGGTTGCTCTTCTGATGTCATGTTACCAGGAAGCTGGGGGCTCATAACAGATTTTGATCCAAAAATATGTGGCTAAAATAAGTTTTATTTCCATATTACCTTAGACAAAGTTAGATTGCGTAAGATGCAGTCAGTCAATTATCCATATATATATTTCTGAATAAATTAGAGTATTCATTTTTGCTTCCTAAAAAATCTCTTTTCACTTCATTAGTACCTCATTATTCCTTTAAAGTTCAGCATTGAACAAAAACAGACTGAATAGCTACCCTGAGGGGGAGAAAGAGTGGATACAAAAGGTAAGTGGACTAAGTGGGATGTGAGAGTAATCTCTAGATTACATCATACTAAATGTTTCATTCATTTCATTTCCTCTTGAGAACAGGAAAATGGTGCCTTTGTCATTGCTGTGCTACAGGTATCTCAACTAAAGACTCCCACACAAACCCATCAGGCAAGGATAAAACATATGGAGCAGTAAAGGAAGAAAAGCAGGTAAAAGACTGGCGATCCTCTATAAATTTTACCATGTCAACATAATTCCTGCATCCAAAGGAGTCAACACTAATTGGCTAAAACACTCATTGATATATGAAACTAACTATTCTTAAAAAGTTTATATTTTCTATATTCCTGAGCTAAGTGTATATACATACATACACACACACACATACACACACACACTAG